GTTTCAACAGCTGTCGCGCAGTGTGCAGCAGCGGCAGCGCTGGTATGTTGGTTAAAGCAGGACGATGGTTAAGGGAAAGAGTTAAATGTTAAAGAAAGAGACGTTAATTTAAATAGAGTGAGGAGAGGAGAGAGGGTTGTCAATGTTATAGATAGGGGGTCCAAGAATTGTTATGGAAAGAGTAGGGTCAAATTGTTATGGAAGAGAGGGGTCAAATGTTAAGGAGAGAGGGGGGTCAAAATGTTAAGGCAAGAGAGGGTCAAATGTTAAGGAAAGAGAGGGAAATGTTAAGGAAAGAGAAGGTCAAATGTTAAGGAGAGAGGGTGTTAGACGTTAAGAGGAGAGGCTTAGATATTAACGGGAGAGGGTTAAATTTTTAGGGTAGAAAACGTTAACTTTTAAGGAGAGAGAGAGAGAGAGAAATGGTTAAGTGTTAACGGGAAAGAGGTTTAGACGTTAACGGGAGAGGGTTAAAGTTTACATTAAGGGGAGAAAAGGTTACAAAGAAAACTAATGTTATTTGTTTCATTTTTAGGGTATTCGATGCACGTGGCGCCACCAGTGGACGCGTCAAGAACACACGACAGCTGCAGACAAGAGCTACAGCTGGCAACAGTGAATACAGCAGGCAACAGTGTGTAGAGCTATCAGCAGTGTGTAAAGCTGGCAGCAGTGAATATAGATAGCAGTTACGGATAGTGCTGGCAGCAGTGGGTAAAGCTGGCAGCAGTGGGTAAATCTGGCAGTAGTGAATAGTGCTGGCAGAAGTGAGAAAAGCTGGCAGCAGCAGTTAGTGCTGACAGCAAAAGGCAAAGCTGGCAGTTGGAGGGTAGAGCTGACAGCAGGGGATACAACAGGCAATAGCGAGCAGTGCTGGCAGCAGTGGGTCGCGCTGACAGCTGGAGGGTAGAGCTGGCAGCAGCGGGAGCACCCCATCACTGCCGACAATGACATCACCACTGTCAGCTTTCAAAAGCCGTCAATTTCATTCAGAAGCCCCTCCCCTCCTCACGCGCCCACCCTCACTCCTCTCGCCTGACCCCCTCCCCCCCCGGCACAATCCCTTCCCCGCCCACCCCATCTGGCTCCTCATACGATCACCATCCGGCATACCGCTTCCGCCCTTCCGCGCTCCTCAATGCACGCCAGATGGCCAGCAATCGTCTTCGTCATCGCCGCCCTCGGCGTCGTCCGCCGGTCGTCGTCCTCTGTCGGACTCGCCGACGCGAAATCGCGCAGCTTCCTGGTCAAATCATCCCTCGGCGGTCTGTGTTCCGGTGCGACGAGAAAGGTTCGCGGATATGCTTCGTGCGGGAATGATCTGGGAAGAGCGCGGATCCATTCGTCTGGAAGCGATGATGTTCGAGTCGACGCACATATCAACTCTGATCGTCTCCCTGCTTGCCCTCACGTGCCGGTCTGGGTGCAAATACTCGACACGTGCGCACGGACACGTAACGCTTTTCAACAAATCCATCGATGTTTCGTTCGCGCCTCCTCAGCACCTGACGCATGCCGAAGTTCGAGATGTCAGTACGGGTCGAAACCGGACGCCGAATCTAGACCAGAGGGACCGTTCGCCGGCGTCATCGCGGACCGGAGTGTAATGTGTCCGCATGCCACGTCGCCAACTTACGTCCGGTGTGTTAAATCCCCTCAGATCAGCTACGCTTCCACGAGCGCAGCCTGAGCGATAAAACCAAAACTCGATCGATTACTTTGCTCGGATCAGTCCCCCTGACACAGCTTCCAGGCGAGAAGCCATGCGGAGCATCGTAGAATCTAGTTCAACTGGACGCTACTTGTCCACGATTGGCTTCCGAGGGAGACTAGCCCGGACGGCGGCGGGATAGATCGTTCGTGCAGGAAGCGCGCGCGAGAATATTCTGCGTGGCGACGTCGAGGAAAAAATCCCGACGTCGATCGAACAATGGACGTTCGACGCAGATCGTGAAAAGTCTCCCAGAAAGAAAGCGAACGCTAAAAGCGTCACATGTCGTCGAATGAGGACTCCGTGCCTTCAATGAGTCCCTCGTCGCATGAGCCGCGCGACAGGATTCACTCCTGAATAGCCAGTTGACGCATGGGCCCAGCAAAGGCGTCGTAGATGGTTTACCGCACAGGGCGGCAGAGGGCCGGCTATAACTATGTAATCCGAAATCGGAAGTCGTGGCGGAAATTCGACGAATATATCTTTATCGTTGCAGGCCGCGAACAACCTCGAGAATGCTCGAGCTCACGCACGAATTCTGGCATCACTAAGTTCAGTGTCGGCTTTCGAGAGTCCGACGACGATACGCGAATTCGCGCTGCCGACGTTGCGACCTCGGTCTGAACTCACGAGACAATACTAAAACCAGACAATAAAGTTCAGTTTAGTCATGCGGGGCGCGGTCTATGCGAGCGATGCTGCTGCATAACATGCATCAGAGATCCTGTGTCCGCGCCGATGGCTGGCTTGTGTCTACGCATAGAAGATAGATTGACACCTGTTGTACAATCAGTACTATAGCTCAATCGTCTCCCTTCCTAGGTAACGTACGTAATGTGTTTGTGTACTGTATGGGGGAGGCTGGGGGGCTGGGGGAGGGAGCAGGCTGAGTGGTGGTGGGTGGGGTTGAGGCGAATGAGAGGGAGAAAGAGGGGCATGAGAACGAGCGAGAGAGAGAGAGAGCGGAAAAGAGAGAAGAGAGAGAGACGAGAGGAGAGAGAGAGAGAGAGAGGGAGAGAAGGAGAGAGCGAGAGAGAGAGAGAAGAATGAGAGAGAGATTGAGGGGGGGAGAGAAGAGAGGAGAGAGAAGAGACGAGATGAGAAGAGCGTACGAGAGAGAAAGAGAGACAGTGAGAGAGAGAGAGGAGAGAGAGGGGGAGAATGAGAGAGAGAGAGAAGCCGAGCAGAGATATGGGCCGGTTTTTCCCGTTGGCCTACTTCCATTTCGCCTACGGCAAATTTCTATTTCCCTACAGCAATATCCTAATTTCGCCTAACTACCCACAAACCAACACTCAAACACACGCCGGTGAAAACATAACCTCCGCCAAGCCCCTGGCGGAGGTAACAATACACGTATGTTACACGTATACCTGCTATTATTGTTATCAAGGCCGGGGAAGTGTACGCCTACACTTGGGCGTGGTTGTCTCGGCGGCTCCGGGCAATGGCTCGTCAGTTTAGCATTGCAAGACATGAAGCCTTAGTCACTGGACCTGACACACGTTCTTGACTTCTATTTGTCGTCGACTTATGCTCCAGCGTCGTCATCCATACTATACGTTATGCAAAACCATATGTGGCATCGTTTTTCTTTTATTTACAGTTAGCGAGCGTGGTCATAACTAATCTGGTAATGATCATGCAATTTCACATCCAATAGCTTTCGAGCAAATAACAACCCAACCAGGCCATGTGACATCGGAAACAATCAGCAGCTGTCGATGACAACCGACAGAGTCTACGAAGCCTCCGTCAAACTAAACAGCAAACTTTAATATTTGTTTCAACCTGAATTCGTCATGTATATATATATATATATATATATATAATTTATTAAAGCCGTATCTATTTTCTTCATTTTGTAAAGACGTCTGCTAACCTGTGCAAGACTTGTTAAACAACACAAAGACATACGAAGAATAATTCCATCAAATAATGGAATATAATGACAAATAATTGAAATGCTAACACTATACCAATATAATTTGTCTCATGTTTGGTGCGTCGTTTATTGTATAGCTTTATATATTTTAGCGTTTCAAGTACTTTAAACGTTTTAAACTCTTAGTATAATATTTATTACATTTTAATGACTATATTGCAATTTACTTTATGTGTTCTCTTATAATGCAGGCGTGTAGTATAGACAGTATTATGTTTAACACAACTGTGACTATATTTGAGCAATTACAATTTAGGAAGAATCAAAGTTTTGTTGTGGTATTGAATCCATGCAGTGGCTTATTTAAACTTGGGTGAGCATAATTCCTGACCCAGTTGAATAATTACCAGGTAATACGTTGAAAAACTTTCAAGAAATGAACCACATAATTGAATGCGAATAAGCCGAATGTGTGATTTCGATCCACTATTTATTACATATATTTTATAGTCATTCATATTTTGTAACCATCGTGTCCTTCTATCTACAATCTGGAGGACAGGCGTTCTTCTTTGTATCGAAACGCTACGACCATGATTGTACACATAGACTATTCCAAAGTCGTTTGACTAAACATGGAATAATGAACTATTCGTACTACTATGCGTACGACTTAATGTCAACAATGAATACGTCTATCTGGTACGCATGGTAGTGCACCGTTTATATCATTATTTAGTTACTATTTAGTCTCGAATATATCATTATTACTTCGCCTGGGGAGAGAACTCTGCGTGAGAAGGCTTGTAGGGTAAAGTATTATCGCAATCTGGAGTGGGTGCGGTTCGCCACAGAACAAGATTCAAATACGACGTATACCCGTTGTCGCGTATGTAACGATGCCGAGCGATGCTAGATAGGCAAGAATGGGAAAGCAAAATTAAAAAATAATCTTAGCTAATAATCGTAAATAACCCTAACCTGATTTTTTTGGTCACTTATCCGTGAAAGCCTTGCCTCAGCCCCACCCCCTACAACCCTATGGACGTCGATCAAGAGCTGCGCACGTCGCTCATCATTACACAGTTGAGTCATGAAATTTTGCCTCCCCCCTAAAGATTTCCTCAGCCTACGGCCCTGGACGTTCTCAACGCGTGTGTTCCATGTCATATTTGTGTCGATGAAAACGCGTGCCACGATGTGGCACTGTCGACATTATTAAAGGTGGAGCCCGACAAGGAATTATTTGCATCCATCGACTCAGCCTATTGACGCGCGAGACACCTTGCACGAAGTGGTCTTGAATCTTGTCAGCCGAGTGTTCTACAATGTGTTACCTGTCAATAAAGTTAATACCTTCGAGTAATAAAATGTAACGTGCGTTTCTATTGCGCAGAAAAAGAACATACCGATGTCCGTGGTGTTATATAATATAGTATACGCGTATATCTATTGTATCTTTTTGATTTCCATCACGCATAAATTGATCTGGTCGCAGTACCAGTTGTGTTAAATTAACTAACTAATAGACAGCTATTTGTAATTATATAGCTAAAAGCTGCTGTTTAAAAGAAACAAGATCCGAAGAGCGCATATATATGGTGATAACTGCACTGTTATTAGTACTATAATATATCAATATACTGATCAATATCGACTTTTCCGGATTAATATGTGTATGTAGGTAATGGTAGGGTGTTAAGTAAACATATATTGACGTATAGATTACTATAAGATTGTTTCACTTCGTGACCTGATCAGATCAGTGTGTCAAGTGTAAGCAGAATTAACATAATAAGTGTTGTTGTAGATTATGTATCATTGAATGCAATGTTTTTTGCTATTATTATCGGTAGCAACATAACAAGAATGTATCCTTTATAGTAAGATGCATTAAACCACCAATCCATCTACCTGATAGCTTGATACAGCTCACAGTCAATTGCTGCGCTAACGCCACCTGACAACAGCTAACACCTTTGGCTCACCCTATATATAATTGAGTGGCCCAACCCAACCATTCACTACATGTCTATATATCTAACT